TAGCCTAAATTTCAATATAATTGGGTTAAAAAAAGTGCAACAACTAAAGTTATACCACAAATTGCCAAAAACTAAAATTAATTTTCAAATACCATCGACTTTGAGTTGACTTCAACTTGTGGTGAAGATATATACTAAAAATGGTGTGCCCAATCGACAGCCAAAGGTAAAATGCACTTTATAAAAATTTCCAGGTGCTGCAACCTGCTCGTTGGTTGGAATTCCAGTAATACTACTAATAAAGACAAAATACTATATTAAGTCCTCAAATTTATCTTAAATTTTTAATTAATTCTTAAATTTTTATCAAAATAAATAAATTTGTGAACTTAGTAATTAGGTAATTTAACTTTTTTTTTTGGACAAACTTAATGTTCATTTATACATCACTAATGTAGATAAAGTATTAATATATTATTATTTATATAGTAGGTGTTAATTTTATCTACTTAAGTAAAACACAAATATGCATTAAGTTCATCCTAAGAAAAAAAGTTAAATTATTTAAATTGTCAAATTTAAGGGTTTATTTACTTTAATAAAAATTTAAAAATTTAACTGAGATTTTAGAATAAATTCAAGGGCTTAAAATATGTTTTGCTGCTAATAACGGTCTGTTTGGTTGGTATTGAGTAATATTAATAAGAGCATGGGGACTCTGTTTCGGTTGCGTTGACGGATTCAACAATCAACAATCAACATTCAACAGGAATAAATAATCAAATGTTGAAGGACAAAAACGGTTCACTTCGATCCAGTGATATTGAATATGAGTTAGAACTGTTTATTTTCAGTGAGTTACACATTCGAACTTCACGAATTCCCTTTTTCTTTTCTTTCAATTAATCTTGTAAATAATTACAAATTGTTAAAAAAAAAAATGTTGAAGGACAGACTCAAAACTCACGCTCGACTCTACTAGGTGTTCCTAACCGTTCCTTTTTACGTAGTGTTAATTATCTTGACTCTTGACTAATAATTATAAACAAGAGCAATGCTAGGGGCACTCACTTTTTGCACTCTCCGGCCAACACTTCCCCTTTCATTGGGCCACGTAAGCTTCTTTAAAGCTTTCAGGCGCAACTTCTGGGAACCAAAATAACGTGGCCCAGTAAAAGAGAAAGTGTTGGCCGGAGAGTGCAGGAGGCGAGTGCCCCTAGCATTGCTCTTATAAACAAACTTGTATTTTTACTTCCTCTTCCTTTTTCTAAAAAGCTTTTAAATATTAAGGCGTCGTTTTTAGATACCACATTGAACTATGATATAGTTGTAGTTATAATTTTTTTTTTGTAATAAACTATTATCAAATTAGTGTAGTAAGTCTCATGGAACTTGGACCAATTTGTGCTTGAATGTGTGATGTCTGACATAAACTAGTTCTATACAGAGGGGAGGTTGTTATTTGCATATTAGATTGTCAAAATCTACATGTTCTGTTTCAGGAGATGCACTATATGCATTGAGGACTTCATTGCATGCGTCAGCCAATCAGTTGACAGATTGGAATCAAAATCAAGTTAACCCATGCCCTTGGTCAAATGTTATTTGTGATGGTAACAATTATGTAAAATCTGTGTAAGTGGAGTCCAATTTATTCTTTTTTCAAATTAATTTTTGATGCATGCTAATACCATTTTCTTATGGTATTTAGTCATCATTGCAATCTTAATGTCTTAATTTACTTAATTTTTTTTACAAACAGATGCTTACACTACACTCTAGTTTGCAGAACATTATCATCCATGAACTTTTCTGGAACCTTGTCCCCTAGAATAGGAATTCTGAAGACTCTTACAACACTGTATGTATTGACTACATTGGAGCAAACAGTTCATTTTACAAATTTAAAGTTAATCATAATATATCCTATGTGTTCTACATGCAGTACACTGAAAGGAAGTGGTATAACTGGTGAGATATACCAGAAGAGTTTGGAAACTTGTCAAGTTTGACCAGCTTGGATTTGGAAAATAATCATTTAAGTGGTGAAATACCACCTTCCCTTGGTAACCTTCAAAAGCTTCAGTTCTTGTAAGTAATAGTGTTCTTAGCTTCTGAAGTATGTTTTTGTAACTTTTTTTTCCTGTTTCCTCTTTCAATATTCATGAAAGGGTGTTCTTTTTTACCCTATGCAAGCAGTACGTTAAGTCAAAACAATCTTACTGGGGCAATCCCTCAGTCACTTTCTGGTCTTCCAAACTTGATCAATCTGTAAGTCATAATATTTTATTAATTTCTAGTAAACTTGTTTAAATATCTATTACTTGACTTTCAGTAGAACTGTGAGTAAATTGCTCCAGCCTTCTGCAGTGTCTGTCCTTGACGCTGTTTAAGTTTTTGACAACATAATTGAAATTGTCTTTGCGGCCAGCTTGATTCAAATGATCTTAGTGGTCAAATTCCTGATCATCTTTTCCAAATTCCACAATACAAGTATGGCTAACTTTTGATTACTATTAGTTTTAATGATCTAGCTGGTTACACAAAAATTGCTCACTTCATATATGCTTCTGTATGTTTACCATTTCTTTCTTATGTTTCTCTACATGCAATGAGTTTGTTTGGTTCAATTTCACAGGAAACAGCTTAAATTGTGTTGAAAATTCTTTACACCCCTGTGTATCTGTGAATGATTCAGGTAATTGGATTAACTAACTTGGCCTTATGTTACTTCTTTTTTTTATGATGTTCAATGCTTTCTAAGGTATAGCTGAAGTTTCATTGCTCTTTTGACCAGCTAATTGCTAGAGTTTCTCTTTGCTGGTAGGTGGTTCTCGAAAGCCCAGGATTGGAATTATTGTTGGAACTGTTGGACTTGAAATTCTTGTTCTTTTGGGTAGCTTACTATTCTTCCTGTGGAGGGGTAGACGGAAAGGCTACAAACGCGAAGTATTTGTGGATGTTGCTGGTTTGTATTACTTTTCACTTGGTCAAAACTCTTTGAAAAAATAATTCTATCATTTTCCTAACAATTCTCTCTCTCATTTTCATTTTCTCTCGTTTGCTTGGCACTGCTGGGTCCAATGAGTTTTATGTAGGTTGAGTAATTTATGCTATGAGCAAGGTTTTACTTAAATTTGTACAAGTGGCACAAATCTCCTAGCAGTTAAAATGATAAATATAAGTTGGTGATTTGTGGTTATAGGGTGCCCTTTGTAACCTTCTTGTAACTTTGAGATGCTATTTGAAGTTGATCCTCAGCTCATCATGTGGATGCTGACATGCAGTGTAAAATATGTCATTGTCTCATTGGTCTAATTTTAAA